TGGTGGCCAGAACCTGGGACCAAGTTGGGCAGGTCTTGCCCAGAGTGGCTGGTACCCTGGGATGGGGTCCAGGCTGGGCCCAGATACTCACCTCAGGTCCAGAAGGGAAGTCAGGGGCAGGATTGGGCAAGTATCTGCATCTTCTTATCTCGTTAGCCACAAGACATTATTGACTTAATTCTGACTGAGAAATGCACTTGTTAAACAATTTTTTGGTAAAGAGTCTACAGTAGGAAACATCTGGGCAGAGTAATGCTAGAAGAAGAGACTGATACAGCCTAGGAACAAGTACCCATAGGAGTATGATATGGACATGGAGCTCAGTGTGACTAAAATCTGTGTCATAAGGATGTGTGTAATTGCTGTTGTACTCTACTTTGAGTAGCTCAAAGTGGTCTGTTGTTACTGGTTAGTAAAGTTGGCCAGACAGCTGGAGTCCTCCACACAACATGAGTTTCCTATAGAGCAAAGGATATCCAGGAAAACCCTTTGCAAGCCCATTCATATTTACACACATAGACACTAGGTTTCCACTGGACAGTCTAGATCAATGGTTTTTAATTTTTCCAATTCTATCACCCTTTAAATAGCACTAGCAGTAGTTACTCATGTTGCGGTGAACAAAAAACAATTGTTTCATTATTTCTTAAGTTTAATTTTGCCACTGTTATGAATCACAATTCACATATTTGATTGCAGAATATCTGCTATGCAACCCCCAATGGAGTTGAGGACCACAGCTCTGAATGTAGGCAGAAATCTCCTCAAATCCTCGCAGTGATGCTGGGGCATTGTGATTCTTAGTTTTTATTATCAGACTGAATCAAAACAGTCACCTGGGAAAAGGGACCCTCAATGAGGAATTACATAGATCAGCTTTACTTTGAACATGTCTCTGTGGTATTTTATTAATTGTTAATTGAGATAAGACTCCCTAAACTGGGCAGAATCATTTCATTGTCTGTAACCTGTACTGTGTATGTATGAAGAACTTCAAGCATAAGCATAAACAAAGAGGTAGCATGGGTCATTTGTTTATTTCTGCTCTTGGCTGTGGATGTGATATGATTAGCTGAGTTCCTACCTCGATTCCCCAAAAATGGAACTATTACCTGGAATTGTGGCCTATGATATATTTTTCATATTCTAAGTTGCTGTGCTTGATAACTCAGTGTAATAAAGATGTTAAGAATTCCCGCTCCCCTAATCTCTCTTTACATTGACCCCTGCCCTCCATTAACCACCTCACCCCCAGTTTGCTCATGAAGATCACATCCATTTCTTTGTCACTGGGTGATCCCTGTGTCTTTGTTAGGGTCCTCTTTACTAGGTAGCCTCCTTGGAGTTGTCAGTTGCAGTCTGGTTGTCCTTTGCTTTATTTATATTTAGTATCCACTTATGAATGAGTACATACCATGTTTGTCTTTCTAAGTCTGGGTTACCTCACTCAGGATGATATTTTCTAGTTCCATCCTTTTGCCTGCAAATCTCATGTCATTGTTTTTCTCTGCTGATTATTACTCCATTGCATACATGTAACACATTTTCTTTATCCATTTCTTCAGTTGAATGGCATCTAGGTTGTTTCCAGGTTCTGGTTGTTATAAATAATGCTGCTATGAACATAGTTGAGCATGTGTCCTTGAGGTGTGTTTGAGCACTCCTTGGATCTATGCCCAAGTATGGTATTGTTGGGTCTTGAGGGAGGATGATTCCCAATTTTCTAAGAAAGCATTCTTATATTAAGTTCACCTAGAATGATTTTTATTCTTTTTGAAATCCTTGTCCCTTCTTACACGATGCTCCCTGATCCTTGTGTGTATTGGTTGGAACAAGCCAGGCATGTTTGCATGTTTCTTTAATTTTATCACCAGGAAAGGATGAAGTGCAGAGAGTTTTATTGAAATGACCCACAAATTGTAATTTTTATAAAATATGGATGACAGGTTCTTTAAAAGGAAGACATGCCATCTCTCCAAAAAGTCATGTACTTAAGAATGATCTTGAAGCTGATTTCATTGGCACAGGCATGATTAATACACAAATGAATGCTCTCTCCCTCCCTGACACACACGCACACATGTCCACACTCACAAAATATCTGTGAACATAAAAGTGAAAAATATGTATGATGTAAAACAATATGCTCTTCACATTGGCTGATCTAACTGGGACACAGATACGAATGTGCAGCTGGATTTTATATTTAATTAATTGCTCAACTCATCCCCCATCAGAAGTAAGTCATTCTTTCTTGTCTGCAAAACCAAGGACAGAAGTTAATGATAGAATATTCATGTTGCTGCTTCTCAGTTCTGATGTCCTTAAGAAAGTCTCAGTAGCTCAGTGGTTACAGAGAGAATAGAAATTAAAACACAGTTCATGTCTGTCTCTTAGTGTAACACACTCAATATAAAGTGTGTTTATTTTCAAGGGTTTTATTGATTTTTCTTTTTTTTTTCTTTTTCTTTTTATTCTTTCTTTTTTTCTTTTTCTTTTTCTTTTTGTTTCAGAGCATCCTGTTTGGCTGGCAGTCCAGGATGTAGGTTGACATGGTTATGTTTTTTCCAATATCACATTCCTCAGGGAAGGTTAGGATGACATGGACTGTTAGCAACAATGTGATGAAACATATTATATTACTTTGAAAGATGAGATGAGACTCTACTCTGAGGTGCTCTGCCATGTCATAGAGAATGAGGATAAAATTCCTCCTTTTAAATTGCTGATTTATGTCATGATGAAGGGAGAAAGGGAATTCTTAGACTCAAAGCAACAGCTTACAATAGTTATTGGATAAGTGGACCCAATATTGAATATTTCAATGGGAGAAATTCTATCCTGATGGAGAAGATTGTCTACAGAAGCAAAATTTTTAATGAGTAGAGCAATTATATATATATATTTATTTTATATTATTTTAATTTATAATACATATAATAAAATATTATAATTTTAATTAG